AAAGGATTTTTTCCCCAAAAAATGTACATTTGGCGAGCGAGAGGGAGTGACGATGGATTGAGTAGGGGATGACAAGTAGCTCAACTGTCTGTCGTTTTGTCCCCTGCGAACATTTTGCTGCCTGACGACAGGGGGCTAACCTATCCCCCTTGACAATGGAGTTCTTTTTCCCCTTTGTGATATTTCCTGATTAAATCGACAATAAAAATGCTTTTTTAGGTAGGTCATTTTGTGTTAGCTAACCAGAAAAAGGAAGAGTCATTAACGTCGACATTGTAATGGTTAGGAGTAGTCTTTGTACTCCATCGGTAACGCATTGTAGCCTACTTTTCTCGTCCCAATTTCAGTGGCAAAAATAGACTTCTTTCCAGGTGAGGGTTATTATTGAATTATAAGATATCTTATTCATCGCTTTGGAATTATAACTTTCCCGATAATAATCTCAGCCCATTTCTCGCGATCTGAATACTCTTTCTCTTCACCTGAAAAATCTCGGTAGGAATTAGGTACCTAGTTTTTATCCACCTTGGTTTGTGGTTTAAATTTCATCTGAGCTTGTTAAAAGTCTCCTTTGGGTAAATTTGGGTTATTTTAGACCGATTTTCTCCATTTCATGTACCCTGCATCCGCATTATTTCATATGGTCCTTCGATTGCCCTTGAGACAAAAACACCTGACTAGCTGAGCCCACAAAAGTGGAACTTCTTTGCTCCCCTAAACAAAAGGTCAAGTAATTTTAGAAAAATAGACGCATCGTTTGTTTTCGCTTTGGAGAGTAAACTGATATATGAGCTTTGATCCAGGATTACTTGTGCATTATTGTTGGGGTAAAGCGTTGTTTTTGTCTGGCAAAACTTGGCATCATCAAATAAAGAGGTAATTTGTTAATTGTTTTGTGCGACTTTTTATTTTAATGTGACCGCACTAGTGTAAAGCTTTGCTAGGATCTCACAGTAACACTTTATGCATATGTAAAATTCTGGGTCTTTCCTGAAGTCGAAAAAAATGTAATACTCGGGCGAAGTATGTACTGCCGACTGAAGGGCTACTGACATGGCCCGGAGGCCGTGTAACCCAAATAAAGTACAATGATGGAGCATCAATTGCCGGAAAAGCCAAAATTCAGACTGAAACAAATAAATAAAGTGCTAGATAGCCTCTCTCCTTTTTTGATTGTCATTTTCGGGCTCCCGTTGATCAAACTCTCACATAGGTCATCAAATTAGCGTGCGACTGAGGGGATACTTGACTACAACTTCGCTGATCTCTCTCGACACTTCCATTGGATCTGGAGTCTCGTCCTCTTTTTGAACTGTATTAGGGGAAGGGGAAATTGTGCTGGCTACCTTGGTATGTTTATCACTGGTTGTGGGAATACTGCCCAAAAGCAGAGTCATTTACAAAAGAGCGAGTTAAACCTAGTTTGGTGGGAATGAGGTTTCTCCTCTGTTCCTCCTAGCCACTTTTCCCACTTCAGTGCTGCCCATCCTTATCTCTACCAAGGTTCTATCCAGCCAGTAGAGAGGTGGAGAGGTTCTTGCGTACCCACTTCTTTAAAATTTTCATGCGAGTAGCTTAGACAGCTCCGTAACAAGTTTTTCCAGATGGTTCGCGGTTAGTATCACTTCAATGGTTAATAGCATTTCCACGGAACACGGAGCTGAGTTAGTCGCCGAAGGTATACAGCATTTTTAGGCCTTCTTTTAGGGGTTGTCAGGGATTCTCCTATACTCAACATATCCTCTTTTTTTCGGCACGTTAAAATTTATCACTCAATAGTAGATAATAGCATGTTTTTTCTTTAAAGCAGGGTTCTTTTTTCGCTGCTACTAATGCAGCGCCTCGAGAATTTTGCACAGCCAAAAAGTCACATTTCTAGAGCAGAATATGTAATGCCTGCAAACAGAAGAGGTGAGAGGCTACCGACATGGCCCGCAGTCCATGCCGCTCAGCAGAAGTACAAAAGCGGAGCCTGAGGTGATCACGAAACCAAAATGCATCCTTAAACAAGCATCTAGGTAATCTATTACAATAAGATAGAAAACATGGCGTTTGCCTGATTGAAGTATCAAAGGGAGGTTGTACGTTCCTGTTATATTTCATATTCCAGTTCGCAGTCACACTGAGTGGACCAATTTATTCAACTTTTGAGGTTCCGTTTCTTATTTCCGGAGGTATTTTTTAACTGGAGATAGGGATTTTTCACTTTGGTACCACTGCAACAACTCATGTGCATCTCCACTGTTCAAAAACTCAATTTACAAATCTTGTGAGGTTGTTTTACATAAGTTGCTTTAGGGGTGATTGTCCTACGCTTAAAAGCCAAATTAGACCTTTTTTGTCTTCTAAATGGCATGAAACCACTTTATTTGGTCATTACTTGAAGAAACGATCGTGCTATCACGGTGAAAGCATGTGAATTTTTCCGGTGTACTTTAACAGTGTTAGTTTATACTCAGTAAATTCGGAGACATTCTTGGTTTGGTTTTTTAAAAAGTCATGATTAAGTATTTCATGTTTGTGGAATAGTTTAGGCCATAGATACAATACCCGGGTTGCTTGTTTAACTCTCCGCCGGCACTTGGGGCTCCGCCTTTACACAACTGCTGGGCTACATGGCCCCGGGTCATGCCAGTGGCCCATCAGCCCTTCTCTACGTCTGCAACACATATTATGTCCTAACATTATGGCTTCTTTCGTCTTTAGTGAAACCTTGGGGCGCTATATATGTATCATCTAGGTTACAACCCAAGGGAAAATAATTCTATGAAAGCCTTTTCCTGCCATGATTCAAAAATCCGCTTTCTAGCCATAGTTTAGGACGAAGTCGGACTACTTGCGCTAATTTTTCTGTAGATTTACAGATAGACTGATTTATTTATGATCCTTTCATTACTATGCAATTCTTCGCATTAAAAAGTGATGGGCTAGCCTTCCGCTTTGGAGTGTACACTCTAAGTTCCTTCGTAAAAGTGGTTTTGTATTAGTAATAACTGCGCAATTAGTCCCAAATCGAGTGTGTGTGTGATGTGAGGGCAGTTGACGTGGAGAAACAATTTGGCCAACAATGTCTCATCATCCCAAAGTGGAGGCGATGGGCAGAAACAGGGAGACCTGACTGCTTCATAGCTTTCCACTTTGCCTTAGTCTTGTCTGAAATACGATGTAGTGTAATGCAAAATTGTCACTGCCACGGATTCGAGAAAGTGTGTCAAGACGTAGAATTTGCACCCATGGCATCTTACTCTGAATACTGCGCTCTTGAGAATAAAAATGAATCTTCACATTTGATAATAAATTTTAAAAAAGCAGATTATTGAGTATTTTGATGACCACCAATGTGAGAATCACAATTGGAATGACTAAACGATCTTTAAACAAACCAAATTACCATTTCACTGCGCCCTGGGTCCTTACTGAAGACTTATGAGGGGACAACACTTGGACGGAAAATGTTTTGCCGAAGTGCAGAAGAACCGGAGTTCGGAAGTTATGCCGCTTTAAGTGCCAGTAGAACCTAGATAAAGAGGTAAACAAATAATCGCAGCATTACATTGCCCTCTCCCCTTTTGAGCGTTGCCCCTAGAACACTCCCCTTGGTCAACCCCCAGCGTCGGCCGTCACAGTGCAGTTGGTGCTGTAATCAAACTGTCCAACAACCATCCGTGCCAGTCAAAGAATTTGCCTGCAACTGAGACGGTACCTGACTGCAGAGTCATTGGTCACTTTTGACAATTCCACTGGATCCGGAGTTTCTTCTCATTTGAAAACTGTTGAGGGAAGGGGAATGTGATGGCCATCTTGTATATCCACCGCTGGTTGCGGGAACACTGCCCTGAAACAGAATCATTTAATAAAGACTGCTTTTAAAATAGTTTCGTAGGGACGAGATTTTGCATTCATTCCTCCTTGCCACTTTGCTCTCACACCAATGCTGTGCAGCCATATATCTATCTGGGTTCTATCCAGCTGGTAGAGAGGTGGTGGATGAGGTATTACGTGCCACTTGATTGATATTGCAATACAGGTACCGTAGACAGGTCCGTAACGAACTCTTCCAAATGGTTTACAGCTGGTGTAGCTTAAGTTGTTAATAGCATTCCTGCAGAAAATTGGACTGAGGTAGTTGCCGAAGTTAGACGTCATTTTTAACCTTTCTATTAGGAATCGTCACAGATTCTTACATCCGTAGCATATGGCCTTCTTCCCTCTCGTTGACATCTAACATTCAGGAATAGAGATCGGGGTAGCTGTCCTTTGGAAGTGGATTTGCTATCCTCTGGCACCAATGTAGCACCTCGAGGCTTGAATGACAACGAAGGAGGTCACAGTGCTAGGGCAGATTATGTGCTGCCAAGGTTCAGAATGGCTGGGGCCTACTGCCATGACTCAGAGGCTACTCCGCCAAACCAAACCTCAAGAAAGTTACCAAAAGAATAAGTGTGTTACAATGATCTCGTATTTTTTAATTCTTTGTACCTGTTCTGATAGTTATTGTGACACATCAGCCCCACTCTGGAAACCATTATTCAAAGAAGTACTACTTAAACCTATATAAGCCGCATATTTGAACAATTTTTTTTTAAAAAATAAGAAGCTTGAGCATTTTAAATACAAATTGTCTGTGACAAGGAGTTATCATTATTTTGGCAAATAAAAGCAGTTGGTAAAATCCCACTGGCGCTCTATAATATTGGGAGCTAAGCGCACACTTTGAAATAGCCTTAACTACTCATAAAAGCAGATAGTAATTACCCGCATAACTTTTGGTGTTAAATTTTATATTTCCGATTTATACAATTACACTTTTTAGTGCTTTCAGTTATTTATTAAAGATTAGATTCACAACTTACACTTTTTGGACGTTTTGTAGATTTTTCAACTTTTCGTACTACTCTCTTCACCTAGATGTTCCACTCTAACTAGGTTTTGTAATTTCATAAAACAAGCAACTCTCCAAACTAGTGGGAATCACGAGTGAAGTTAACAAGGAGTTTCTGTAGTAACGCCTTTGCATGTAAAGCGAAAATTTCCGTCACCTAAATTAGTTTGTTTATTCTTTGCTTCAAGGAACTATGGTACCAAGTAATGGTTTTCACCATCATTGCTGTCTGCTTGACCATTCTGGCTTTCGGGGTCTGTCTTGTTGCTGGTTGCTATGTGGTCAGGCTGAAAGCGAAGGCGGCTCTCTTAAGGCAAGCCATTTCGCCTATCCTACTTTTCATTTTTACTCTGCCTACTTCTCAATTATCGTGATCAAATACATGGGTTTTAGTTGTTTTGGGAAATTTTATAATGGTATGCTATACATCGGACAAAGTCTATCCGTCAATACCTTTGAATGCTTGAAAGTCCCACTAAATTGTTTCATTATGCATTCTGGTCTAGGCGTCATCAGGCTAGTCACTTCGGAGATATGCGATTTGTGGACGGAGAGTGTTTAAACAGTCCTGTCACAGTTGCACCTGGTAGTGTTGGTGGTGGCGTCAATGGTGGAGCAGGTGGAGGTATCCCAGTCTACCTTCACCGACTCTCCTCCCTTGACTACAACTCCCAGACCCTTCAGCGACCCCCTTCTGTACGCAGTTTCGCGCTCTCTCGAACCCCCACTGCTTCTGGCATTCCTCTTGACACCACTCAAACTCCCACCGAGCAGCCTTTTGTAGTCGCCAATGGCTTCAACTGCCAGGCTGACACTCTGGCTTGGCACCCGATCTACCGCAGCCCTGCAAAGACATGGGGTGACTTCACCTTTGATACATTCGCGCGAGCTCCTCCTGCCACCACCGCAACTGGCGATGTGGATCGAAGTGCTTATGGAGACACATTACCCACTGTAAATTCACCAGAAGCTTATGCGTGTCGTCACGAGGCCTATGGTTACTTGTCAGAACTACACAACCATCTTAGTGACAACTTGGTAACCTCGGCGCCAGTGATGAATAATATGCTGACGTTGAGGACTTCGTCAATCCTAAGTCCCACGGCCTGCCAACAGACATCAAAGAGTCCTACTGAGGTGGAGGATAGTGCGATGGATATGCGGAAGAATGACTTCCAAATGGCGCCTACTTCTCCCCCCAGTGAATTCGCAGATCTTGTAATCAAGTGATTATTTACTCCCCGTGCGCCAACGCACCCACCATCCCTCTTATTTTGTATTATTACCTATACTCCTCTGCTATTGCTACTAGCGCGTGTCTCTGTGTGCATGAGTGGGCATAGGGAGAGATGACAAAGTCACACCATGCAAGTGAATGGTTGGCACTTTGAGCTTAGAAAGCGTTCAGGATTCTCCGGAATTGAATGCCCGTCTGTTGGAAGGATTTCTCTGGACACACTTAATTCACGGAATACACATACGTCAACTTAATTACTCCCTATGGATATAGCAAATCGTTTTATAAATTTTGTATGAATCAGGTCTTTTGTAAACTACTTGATCTTAGGAGGTACCCACCTCCAAATTTAACATTTTTGTACGAAAAGGAAGATATATATAGACTAGCAGAGAGGATGCTTTAAAGGGGTTCTCTGGAATCTCTTCTGGAGGTAGATTTCCTGATTTAAAGTATTGTTTTCTGTATCTTTTTCCCGGTATCCCTAATGGCATTCAACTACGCTTTCCTAAAGCATACTTGTATGATCGCTGCCAAATTTCTGGCCATTACCTTTTTAAAGGCTAGCGTTCAAAACTTTATGCTGGCGAGCAGGTTGTGCAGCCAGTAATTTCAGAGCACCGGCGCCTGCCGTCTTTTGCGATGCGGTGTTCGAATTGATCCCCATTTTATTGAGGTCACGACCGCCTCTTACAGAGTAGCCAGTTTAGAGGAGATTGTGGTATCTCAGTGAGGCATTAAATACTGAGATCCCACGCAAATCCATGTGCGAAATTTCCTCATAGTGTAATCAACAAAGTGCTGTGGATGAAAATTTAATTTAATAATTGCAATTTGTTTCCAAGCTTTACCTCATCTTGTCCTATTACTTTCTGACCTATTTGCCAAAACTCACAGTGATGCTTAAGCTGAGTTTGAGTTCATTTTCAAGCTTGGCAACGCTGATGAATGAAATCGTCTAACTCCCCCAATTAACAGCCAACATGTACTTAAAATCTTTTGAAAATGTAAAGTAAGAGAACCCAGCTGTGAATGGCCGCGAAAAATGGAGTTGAATCTCACACGCTGGGACTATGATGAAAGATGGCATCCATTTTCCACAATCATGGTTCTTTAGTATCGAAGACGACCTTAGTCGGACAAATTTGATGAAAGATCTACTGGCCTACATTGTAGCTTTGGTATTTTTCTAAACATTTTCAAGGAAACTACACAAGCAGTCGTGTCTGCTGCATACCATCTTCTTATTCCGCCGAAGACTTGAATATACCAACTGTTTGAGAAAAAGAGCTATTTTTTGGAATTTTGACAAGTGTATGAGTTGCGAGTTAGCCGACCTTGCGGTGGGAATGCATTAATTTTCCCTCTGCGACTACCATTCTTCTCTACCACGGTGGAAGATTTATGAGCCGTGCCTTCACTCCATACAATTAGCGGCGCCAGGCGGGTATGGGAGCGGAATCGCGTAAATGTCTTTCCACTTTTACTCGTTCTCTGTTTTGAAAGTAATAATGCTACTCAAGTGTCTGTTACTATTCAGTGAGATTGATCATTCAGTAGAGATTAAAGAATTACCTGTACTGCTAAGTATCTTAAACGTGATTATGGCTTTAAAGTAGACGGTGCTGTTGGTAAATTACTGCAAAAAATTTGCTCCTTGTTGGGAGAGATAATCAAAGATCGTGTTGAGTGGTTTATCAAACAGCTTGTGAGAGGCACATATTTAGCAACGCAAAAATCTACGAATCTCCAGTGAGATAATTATGAATTTGAGTGTGTCCGCCGTTTTGTGATTAAGAGCTTCCGATTGCCCAGTGTATCAGGCAAGAAGTTGATTCACTTGCGATAGTTTGGAGACAGTCCTATCAGACACTTCTTCCAGTTTAATTGACTAGATCCCTCTGCAACAAAGCATTCATTTAAGGTTGTATTTTTTTCCTGGTCTCATTTTAAGTACGAAAGATGATATTGAAGGCTTTCACTCATCACAAATATGTATCCATTGCAGGTTGGGATTATATGGCGTCTTAAATGTAGACTTACGCAAAGTGCTTATATCATTCGAACAGTGTTGAAGTTGTCGTATTATCAACCAAATTGTTTTTATATGCATAATAATAATGCCTTTTTATTTAACGGTGTGGCACGCCTTATTGAATCATGCACCAGTCATTTCAGTTCCCAATTTTAAAATGGACATTGATGAGCTAGACCTTAGAAAAATGTAAGGATCAACTATTAACCAATTTTAGGCCCAAATATGTTCACTAATCCTGCTACGTGACAGTTCAGCTAATAAAAGTCATAATGGTCTTATTCATAAAGAGATTTCCCCTCCGTGTGTTCCCCTTTATCGCACTTTTAACAGCAAATCCATTTGTCGACAGATAATACAATTAAAAGGAGAAATAAAATATAATTTCAAATCAACTGTGTTGAATTGGAGTGCAACATTTACATTGTTCCCAATCGAAGTGAGCATGGATGAATGAGAAACCTGCCCCAGTTGGGTGTGGAACTGTTTCGACCTCACGGCTAGTATCATACTGAGTGCGGATCCGACCAGGAGATAGGTCGACTGACGTATAGTCTGCAGTAACGTATTTTTTGCAGTTAATAATGTCCCACACACTAGCCCAGAACTCCCTCTCATCACAGCTGGCCTTATCAGTTGGTGAGATTCGCAGAGCCATTGTGTGCATTATTTCCGTGAAAATGAACTTTTCATATGGTTAAGGCCAAAAATCGACGCCGTTTTAAGGGAAGTTACTGGATGATCTAGGCTAAGCTACGGTCAGCAAAAAATGAGTAAATTAACGGCTTCCAAAAAGCGTAATACTATTCAGGGTATCAGAGAAGATTTACAAAGGAAGTTGTCAGAATTAAAGACTCTTGTCAAACTAAGCAAAATGCAAAATTCGATCAATTTTTAATTGTAATCCCCAACATTTTCTTGTTTAGATTAATAAATTTAAGGTTATTTGGAGTAATCAAAACACTTGAACTGTCTAGCAAACAAAATGCTTGAGTCGTTAAGTTGTATGGCTTGTTTTGACATGGAGGCAATTTGCAAATGAACAGTTTTTATACTTGATACCGTATTCCGTGGGTACATTACCTGGTATTCCAGGTACCGAAGGAATGCGTGCGTCCCTTGTAGTTCAACCGTGAAATGATCTCTTTCAAATACTAAGCTGGCGCGTTCTCCTTATGTATTTAGGTTTATACCCAAATTGCAGCAAAAACGTTAAATAAAATTGCTTTACCACTGTCAAAAGGATACAATCTACAGGAGGAGAGGAACACTTAGTCATTGTTTGCCTAGTTTTTATTTTAAAGTATCATTTTAAATATGCAGTTCCTGAAATCAACTCTGGAGCTGTATTGTGGTGACCCAAGTCTTTCCTGAAGTCAAAAGAGGTCATAATACTAGGATAGAAAACATGTTGTTGGCACATAGAAGGACCGCGAATCTACTGATATGGCCCGGAAGCAATACCACCAAGTAGAATCACAACCACCCGGGCCCAAGAGTCCGCACGACCAAAGCGTCGAATCAAACAACCAGCCGACTCATTACAGGATGAAGAGCTATTTTTGAGGCCAAATTGGCATTGAATTATCCTTTAATGCCGTTAAAAACGAGAAAAATACATGGCACTTTCTTGTTGGAGACTTTAATGTTCGCCTGGATAAGGAAGTTTAGTTGACTTATTGTAGCTGTTCGCGCCCTTCCTGATACCATAAGTAGCCACAAACCTAGGCCAGAAAATGTACTGCCGACTAACAGAGGATCTCAAGGCTACTAGCATACCCCGAACGCCATGTCGCCCAGTGAAAGTACAGTGGCGGAGACTTAAGTGCTCGCGTAGCCTTAGCTAGCAAATGCAAATCCACTTTCGTAATGCCCAGTTTTTTTAATTAGAAGCATTTCTAATCCGTCTTGAAGTTGCACAATAAGCTAATAGCGAACACATTCATAAGCACTTAAATCTTTGAGAGACGTAGCAAACTCAGGATCAAGATGAGCAGTAACTACTCTTCCCAGAAGGAGGTTGCTTACCAGGCGTCATTCAAGGGTTGGGATAAGTGTAAACAGATGAAGCAGTTTATGTGGAAAAGGAAATTTAGCTTAAAATCCATGAAATACATTTGGCCAAACTCTGCCAAATGCACAGAGCGCCATGCGTCCGTCATAACAGCGCAGCTCTGTTTAACCTTGGCCAGTTTCCCTTCTATAATTAGGTAGCTCAACCCGCGTTGCTTTACGGCTTGGTTGGTAACTATGGTCCTAGGTAAAACGATCCCCCTGACCGATTTCATAGCCCGGAAATTTCGTTTAAGTGCATAATTTATTGCCTTGACTATTGCAGGTGCGAAGAATTTCTTTCCTATAAAACTCACTGCTGAAGTTGAAAAAAGTCATATTGTTGAAGGCCGTCTGGCTTTTCTGTTGTCAGTTTGCATGACTTGCAATTATCTCGAATTGAGAGAAGTTTACAAAACTCGGAGTTAAAATGACCCTAACTAAATTCAAGCGAAAATAAAAATTCGCCCAAATGCTTCTTAGAAAAGCTTTAAATCCAGCAAAACAAAACTGACTTCACAAATCACTTTTACCTAATCATTCAGTAAATTAGGCTTTGCTTTCGCTTGATCAAAGAAGACTGTTTAATGGGATGAGGGAAATAAGTGGATATCAAACATTGATAACCATATGGAGTTTAATATTTTATTCTCTGTCTTGGTAAAGGGCTTTTTGGGGCTCCTTAATAGTACGTCCATCAGACAGCCTGGCCTCTGGGCCAGCTCGGGAGACCCCAAGTCCCTCTGTACTTCGATGGCATATATTCAGCCCGGGTATTGTGTCTCCTTTTGTCTTTAGGAAAGACATGGGGTGCTACATGAGTCAAAAATGCTAGAAATATGTTTGTCTTATTAATCCGTTTAGCTAAGCGGAATTTTAAGCCTCCGTATAATATACACTCCCCTAACCATGTCTACGGCCTCTCAGCTCTCAGATACTGTAAGAACAGGAGGTCAGTATATGTTGGTATGCCCCATCATCAAGGCTTCACCTTAAGAAGGTTTATTTTGAATAACTAATTGGCTCTGTAAACGACTTCGTGGTTCCCAAGCGGTAACCACTCCGAGATAGGAGAGAAGTCCTAGTGGTGCCCCTGCTTAGTTTCTCTGATCAGTGTTGGAACCCATATTACTTATTACAGTGTTCAAACTTTTTAAGTAAAACTATCTCTTTAGGGTTAATCCTTCAACCCTTTGAGCTTTCCATCACATACTTACTAATTGATTCGCTAGTAAGACGTCTTTCTTGCTTTTATTTCCTGGTTCCCGGAAGCACATCAATTGTCTGATGAGCTGTATTTTTAGTCTTAAAAGATTTATACAAAAAAATTTAAAAGTTAAAATCAAATGTTGAGCCACTGTAAGAAAGGAAAACAAGAAGTCCAATTGTATTGTATGGTGAGTAACTACCTCGTCCAGGTATAGAATGCCAACGCTACCAGAATATCAACCCAGACATGGTTGAGTAGTCATTTGTTTAAATGACATGGGTGGGCAGAAAAATATGGTCAGCTATGCGACTGAAGCTATAGCTAACCCGGACAGCTCCACCAAATTTTTTCGCCCTTGGAGCCGAAATCTATCAAATAGCAGTTGTCATTGATCGTTCAGCCGTACACGGTCCTTTAGATGGCCTGAGTTTCGTTCATTGTCAACGCTCACGTGGGCACGCGCCACCAGTCCGTCAAGAGATGGGGTCCCGAAAGGTGGATTATGTTTGCTAAGGGTATTGTCATGGTTCATAATTGCCTCAATAGTACAATTATTTTTTTAACTCCGAAGAAGAACAACTTTATACTTAAAGTAAAAGAGCCCAAACGCAATTTGCAAAGTCGTCTGGTTCTTGCGCCACCTAACAGGATTCAACCAGGCCGGTTAAGGCGTGGGATGAAGCTAGTCTTCAAAAGCACATCAATTGCAATCATTTAAAGTTATTTCAAATGTTTTGACAGGTCACATACTCTGTCACCTTCATCATTTGACAAAAGCGTATCAGGACATATATCCAAAAAAAATTCCAAATTTTAACCTTTGTATAAGTAAATTCAAGCCACAGAGGGCAAAATCTGTCTCCTCATAGCTTTAATTTCGAACGTCTATGAAGAAGCTTCGCTTCTACATGTCTGATTAAAGCCTAGGTGGTATAGTTGATGTGTACTGAGTTGAGATGGCTTCACATGATTCTTTTGTCGAACCGCCATTCCTCTTAGGCCTTAGTCTACCAGTTGTTTCCCCGACCCTACACTCGCCTCCTCTTCTCCCCTTCCTCACCTCCCTGCACACCTCTTCACTGAGGCTTCATGTAATGCTCACCAGGTCTATAATCTCAAAAAGGCGAAATTATCAAAAGTAGGATTAAACTTTCAGGAAACGCTAGCCTACATTTTTGGCCACTTGCAGGATTCAGCGAGACAAAATAAGTGCAGTAGTGAGTCACAAGTTTATGGCAAGATGAGTAGCCTCATTCGACTGGAAATTACTTAGCACCGCCTCCTGTTATGACGGCACCCTCGATCGAACTAGAGTAGACAGTAAATGCACAATGAATTACTAAAAAATTTTTCTTGCCGCTATTAAAAGACTTCCAAATTACTTGAAAATCGTTACATCTAGAAGTAGCAGAGGCATATAGTCTTCTATCTTTACGAAGCTTTGGTGCCATTAATAAGGAGGTGGTGACTGGTTGCGCAGTTATTAGACAACCACTGCTCTCCTCGGAGTCCTAACCATTCCGGGACATCTAGATAACTGGACTTCCGTCACACCAGTGCGACAACCCCTAAACTCTTCTGTCTCTGGAGGTGATCATGACTGTTTGGCTTCTGGAACTAGTCCAATCGGTATCTCCCTAGGTATGGTGGAATACAACTTGCATGTTTTTTAAGCAGTCATTTCGAATCGCACAGATAAATGCCCTACAAGACAAAAAAGATTACACGGCATTCCAAGGGGTCGTAGAAAACACTTTTGCGATCGCCTAAACTACTTTGAGCAACTGTGTGTTAAAGCAATCTTCATTTATGCTTTTTCGATGAAATATTTGCGGAAACAAATTTAAAAAGCCTAGCAGCTTCCTAAACAAACGCAGTTAGGCTAATTTAGAACCTGTTACTTTTTAATCTGCATTTGTCATTTGGGGTTTTGAACCTACAATAACTGCACCGATCATAACTTCAAGGCGCTTTCCAAGGCTGCAAATTGACTCCTCTAAAAGGAACTTGTCCACTTAAGCAAAGTCACCTCATTAAATCAACTTGCAATTGACTTGCACTCTGTTGGTTTTGTAAGAGTTTTAAAAAGTTAAATCAACTTCTTAACACGTGAGAGCTCTAGATGCGAAGTAATTAACTGACATGCAAAAGACAACCATCAATTGTAAAATCACTCTAAAACATCCATAAAAAGAAATTGTATAGAGATTAAGCCGTGACCACATGCGAACTCGTAAACAATCCATTCCCTTTAATAAAAAAGAAGCCACTACTAAACTAACCTCTTTTATTTATACATTAGTGTACATATTAAAGTTTACTGCCTCTTTAACTTAACACCACACCCTACCCCAGGGCTTCTTTCCTACTTTACCTATAAGCGTAAAAAGGGGAGCAGATAAAGAGGGTGAAAATGACTTCTTTCCTTAGCGGTAGTAAATGGGACTCAAGTATGGATTGGTGGAGTGGAAAAGACGTCTTGCTTTGCCCTCCATTTTTTCTACCTCAGTGTGTGTCCATTAAGTGCACCGGGCAGTAATCAAAGCAATTGGTTTACTAGCCTATGCTGAGCCACGAGAAACTTCAGCAGTAACTACTCCTTTCCAAAGCTTAGTAGGCCCAGCAAGACGTAGGAGACGAGAAATGGGCACATGCATGGTAGAAATCAGATCGTTATTTCTCATACCATTCCCATTTACGCACCGACTTCCGAATGGAGCTAATGCAATAGATCTATGTAGTGGTCACATCAGACCAAACCCTTTAATTTTACACCTACGATTTCCCGATTCAAAAGCCTAACGACTTCCCTAGGGATAAGCAGAAGGGTTGCATATCTGGTGGTATGAAACCAGGGTAAGTTGAGTAAACAATACCTACACACGCTGCGGCAGGAAAAAAACCGTTATGAATGATTAAGTCTTCGGAAACTCACAACAGAAGAAATGATGAAACCGCAGATAGGACTTGATGGGTGAAAGTCCACAAGATACGAATAACGTCAGATTACACAGAGAGCAGCCACCACATGGTCCTCGTTCTCCTGTTATTTTTGACCAATAAAGTGCCATGCTACTAGCCTCCCAATCTTTTCCAACTTAGGTGTTGAACCGACTGCGTGTTTGACTCTTAAAAAATCATAATCGCCGATTTGAGATCTCACTGGCGCGCCCGCGAACTCCACACTAGATAGCAACTTTGAAGTTGATGATTAGCGGCTATTCCTCGCTATTCATATACCATCAAAATAATTTCTGACACACGGCAGTGATTTCCAGCGTTTATATTTCTCCAGAAAGCAAAGTAAATAACTAGTCCATCCGAAAAAGCCACATTAAAATAAACGGCAAAAGACGGCCGATGCCTACAAAGAACCGTAGGGATGTGAAAACGCCGACACGAGGCCAGTCATTCATTAAATTCCACAGGCAAACCCATGGAATACACTCACCCCAACACAGACGATTCGGTCTCTACCACCGTCCAGAACCTTATCTAGCTTATTCTTTGAATATCCCCAAGCCCCAAGTGTAAACAGGACCGAGATAGCACCATTATCAAGGAAGGGAATCCAGAGGCATACCTCAACTATCTCCGAGGTAATTTCCGATCCAAATGTTATATCCCCCTAAAACATCCCACATCTGGACGAAATAACTGAACAGCTATTAATCGGGGTGCTACAAAGCACGAGTTCCTAATTCTGATTTATCCGCGATTGTTAGGTTAGCACAGAAAAGGGGGAGGGGGAGAGCGGGGTCACAATCGCACGGGTGTCAGGACGACTAAACCATATAAAGGACTTTTGAGATAATGGAAGCGGGAATGTTGAGCCTTCCCTGATTTCATGGCCACCCGCGTAAGCGCTGAACGGTTGCGCCCTTCTTAATAGAGGAAAAGGCTACGACCGAAAGATCATAAAACGTTGTACCGAGGACAGACGCTAGTGACTATCTGTCGGGAGAGGGAATTGGTGACGTCTGTACACAAAACAACAAAAAAAAATACGGGGGTCGAATATTAAGTGGGGTTATTTCTAGTCTAAACGGAATAAACATAGCTTCTGAAATGAGGACACGGTATTTCAGCAAACCAACGGCGTAATACTATGATCATCATCACATCGGATCTAGAACCGATTTGAATACTGACACTCGCCGCGAGAAAACTTACAGAAGAGAAACACCGGTGAAAGTAAAAGTAGGAAAACATCACTTGACAACAGGAAAAAGCTGGAGAACCTACTTTTCAAATTTGAGTAAAATGACACGCACTCACTTCCAGGACTTAAAAATCAAACATTCCAAACATGGCAGCAAAACATTGAAGCAACCGGAGTATCCAATATTGGGTCATTATTGTTGAAAACAAAACAGGTTGACCTGTGATATCATACAGCTACGAACGGGCAATAAAGCGTACGAGGAAAATGGAAGTTTCAAGGTAAGGAATTGGGTACCATCTTGCGCACAAACCAATTTTACACTACCTAATTTCAAGGATAAGCAACACAACGAGAACAAAAGACACCGTGGATCAATGCGAAAGCGATCGAACAATGCCACGGACAACTACACTATCGTTGCATAGGCAGTATGCAAAAGACATTAGCGATGTAGCCCATTCTACTTTGGAGACAAAACTTGTCATCAATTGACAATAAATGGGCTGTTAAGTGTGTGCGGAGAGGGGAAAATAATTGGTTATTGAGGTGACATTCCTGGATTTGCGATGGCCCCAAGTGTCTTCGTTGTATGCATGTAGGCTTCCATGAACTTAGCAGCGCAGCGATCCAGACAGACTGCCTCACCCTTTGATAAATCACCGTCATGATATCGAGGAGGAATGCACTTTTTCAAGCACGCTTTCGTCATGCTTGAGAAAATCTTCTGCATCATTTCAATTTCAAACATTTGCATTTGCCGTTCGACTGACAACTCAGCCATTGTGATTAAACAACAAGCGTAGGCGAATGGGTGAAAGTACAGGCTACTTTAACCTAACTTGTAAAGAGTGCCCTTCAAAGGATAATAAAAGAAAGGGCGGCAGCAGGTGATTGTCACCTGTGCATTTTAAGCACTTAAAATGGTAATACTAGTAGGCACGAATTTGGGGAAAAAAAATGTAAAACTCCAATCTTATTCCAGCCTAGTTAAGTACACGTTTTGTTGGAATGCAGTACCGATAAAGACATGGCAGAACATAGTTAAGAAAATTTTATGGTGATTTCCAATCTAGCTTCGTTTTTAAAAGCTAATGTGACTTAAAAGTTGGCTTTGATGGGTATGATCTAAATGTTGAAAGAAATAAGATACTTTAAAGTGCTTCAGAAATAATAACAAAACTACACCGAAGAATAGAGTGTGATTTAGAATTTCATAGCAATTTAAATTGAAGATTAGAATACAGACGAAGTTTTGATGACCGACTTATTTTATTTCAGTAGGAATACTCCTATTTTGTTATAAAAGACCAATTTCTAAATGCATCTAAGTAGGCACTAAATAATTTAAAGCATGACTTTATTCGACCCAGAATTTGACTACATTTAAGTCAAACCATAGTACTTCCAACCACTTAGAGTAATTAATTGCTTATAGAGTTTTGCTATGTATATTTATATTTTAAATATAGTTGATAATTAGGTTGAAATTCTTCTGTTAAATATTCATCGTACGTATCAACTGCACGCCTTCTACATCTATGCTGAATAAAGAATTAAAATAAACGCCATACATTTAGCAATTACTTCTCTTCATGCATATAATATTTCGTCTTTATCTATAAGCTTTGAATTTGTTATCTCGAACTGTGTCGGTATGGTTCATACTTATAATCCACACTTTTTAACTAATCGCGCCAGCGAGGGTTGCGTTTCTCTTCGATATGATTGAGATTGAGATTAAGGGGCACTATGGCCAATTCATCAAGGTATTCGTTTGATAAGTGTTTTTAGAATTTTTTAAGGGTTATTTGCGAAGGATAGTTGAAGAAAAAGGAGTGATTGTATACGCGGATGAGTAAGTTTGCCTTACATTTATACGAATTATAGTCCGTCGACGGAGGAATTGATACCTCTAAGCGAACTCCGTCTTCCGCCCACCGAAAACCCGGATATTTTGTGAGTGATTAGGGGTTTCTGTGTCCCAGCGGGTGCATTTTCTTGGTATTTCATCAGTTATGCTCTACATGAAAGCGGTTCCCATCACACTTGTCCATGGCTTTGGTTAGGGACAAAGAACTAGATGTAATCGAAAGTAGTCGGTTTCCTAACAGGTACGTCTGATAACTTAATGAATTGCGTCGCCTCCAGTTCCGATGTGGTGCATTCGTCTACGCATTGTTTTAACGCTTGCATCCACTAATAGAGGTACCTAGGCCGTTGTCAACTAAAAATTGTTCACCGTGCTACGAATTGCAATTCAGTGATACCTTGTAATGCTTTGTTTGACAAAATTTCCTGTTTTAGCTGGCAACTTCAGCGAGGATAAAAATCAGTGATTCCTAATTTTCCTTAATTCAATCCTAGGGCTTTGAGTCCACAACTACGGGTTGAGGCTTTGCTACCCGTGACAGTGCAAGAAGACCCACAGGATAACAGCTTCACTGAAGCTTTGGCCAATCTACAAATATCCCAAACTACTCAACAGCCAACTGCTACCTCGCGGTTGGCAAATCCGTTTGCTTGTTTGAATTGTCCCTCCTGGTGGCCGTGCGTAGTTACTAAGGTGCGTTGATCAGTCCTTTTTGGCTCGCGTCATTGGTATGTGTTGTACTTCTTGAATTCGCAATCGGAGGTGTATCCACTCTCTTTCCCCTTCCTCCCCACAATTTCTTGAATTTAAGGCTACTAGCATTTTTATTTGTGTTGACCTCAGGGGCGATGAGGTTATTTACGACTTTATTTTGTCACTTGTCTCACAAACTTGAATTGATGTTTGACGTGCGCTGGTAGTCGATGTGTGGACCCCCGCGCAAATCTGGGTAATGGTAGATCTTCGGCTGTCATCGTACCATTTGTGTGCATTTCTAGTGAAAATGTGTAAAGTTAGCTCAAATTCATCGCCAGCTGTTTTAAGAAGGCAATGGTCCTGCATGTGTACTCATTTATGTCTCAGTGGATCAGCATCTGACGCAAGGGGGGTGCTGTCAAGGTTTATGGGGAGGGACGGATTGTCGCATCAGTGGAGCATACATGCACGCATCTACTGTTAGATCGATCAACGATGCCTTCTCCATCTTTGATTTTCTAGGTCCGAGATGCTCACGCAGTAGTTCAGTTGCGGCCTGTGTTGCCGGTTGCAGATGAGTCAGCGCCGCCGCCTCCAAAGGAATACACTGAGCTTGCTACCAACCTCTCCGCTATGACGGAGATATGTGAGCGCAAAATGCTTCGTCCCGCCACACCGTCTGATGCCCCCACCCTTAGCCCCGACGTCCTCTTTACACATAAAATCACCATACCCCAGGACCTCTTACCCTAGTAAGTTTCAACTTAAGTATCTCGTAATATCGGTTTTCACCTATAAGTATGTTTTTGGTGTCAATTTAAGCCAAGCGTTACTGATATTTAAGTTGGATTGTGACATGGTGCTTTCTTTTACATAGACCCTACCGATGCACTCATTTGAATGAGTGAATGACTCCTGGTATCCGCAGTGGTTAATAGTCGTCTACCGCTTGCTCGTTATTTATCTATGGGACGGTGTCCCTTGGCAGTATTTTTTAGATACATCAATCAAGACACATGCATTAAAGTCACGAGCATGTCATGCATAAACGTGGGGAGTACTTACGGTTCCAACTTTATTGATAGTCGGCCACTGTCGCTTTGGGCGACTTTAGTCACTTTTTCGGTTCATATGTGGGATATACAAGTAGGAAGAGTTTATTGAACTGGCGTCAGTTGTTACTTAAAATTAGATAATCTGGGACCTTTTTTACCTCTTGTATCGTAGGCACGATATTTTAGTTTTTGCGTTTATTGAGCGGCCGTGCTATTCGCTGGTTACATACGTGAAGTCTCGTGTTTGGTAGTCAACCATGATAGCCAGCAAAATGCCACGTTTGCCTATGCTATTTCAATTTTCCTGATTAGTAGCGTGCGGATGATTTCAAACACCGCTTGTTATTACGTTGGCCGTGTTTGCAGTACTACTGAAGCTATTAGTAAACGATGTCAAATGTGTTTGTGTTCTTACTCTAGTTGTGGCTTTTCCTCTTTCTTTACCGAATTCATAAACCTTGTCTTGGGTTATGTAGAATTACTGCATCTGCAATGTTTGGGTCGTATCATAGCGCCTTGGAACATGTGGATCTTAATATGTACTACTTCGTCCTTTTTAGTGCCTCGGATCTTGCAGTACACGATAGTATTCAGCGTCATTGTGGTGGTCCAGTAAGCCTCTCCTTCGAAGAAGACCGCCTGGTCGTCCTTTCTACCTCATGTGAGACGATAAGGATAGTTGGTCTCCTCGAGGAGATGCATCTTCGCATGTTGCGCCAAAAGCATGGCATCATACGTTACATCAATCAAGCAAAAAAGTATCACGACGTAAGCAATGGCCCCGGTTCAGCGCTCCCCCTCCCCTTCCATTTCCTCTACTCAACGAAATTAACCTCTCTGTTGTCTTTCACCACTTTAGGGTCTGGGCGGGCTCAAGGATGGGTCAGCCGTGGGCAGTGGTGTTGACGGTAGCACTTGGTCCTCTGGAGACGAAGGGTCATTTGTCGAGATCTTCAGTGTGCCGAGTTCTCTCATGGGCCTGGCTATCGGTGCACAAGGGGCTAACATTCGCGCAGCACGCTCAATCGCCGGTGTCCTGCGCATCGATGTGCGTGAATCGGTTCCGCAGCGGAATGGTCCAGCTTTTACCCCCTCTACGTCCACTGCTTCCGCTGATTCGGAGGTCCAGATTGCCCAGGACCCCATGGGGAATTCCTCCTTCTCCGACCAACCACTGGCACACTTCAAAGTGGTTGCTGAGGTAAACGATGCTCTTTGAATGCATTAAATGTTGGTGGGAGACGCTGCGAACGTGTCACTTTTCCCTTTCAGACCGCGGAAGCAGCTAAGGCTGCAAGAGCGGCGCTGGAGTTCTGTCAGGTGTGTCTCCTAGTGCCCAAGCGTCTGATTGGTCGGGTGTTGGGCAACCGTACCAACAACATCGTGGCTATCAACGAGAAATCGGGTGTACGTCATATTTATTTGGAGAGCGACCCTAGACGCCTTCCTAAAGTCGCGGATCAAGAATCTACTTCTGACGGTCGTCCTCCTTACTGCATGAAGGTAAAATCACTAGGACCTTTCATTTACCTCACAGGAGCGCACATTCAATTTTTTTCGTCGTCAGTCAACTGATATTCCTCATTCCATTACACTGGCACTTTCATTTCGGGTCACACATAACGTGTGCGTGTGTGTTGGGTAGGGTGCGATGCGGTGCATACACGCATGTGCGCGTTTGTTTCACTTTGTCTCGCGTCTCCTTTGCTGTGCCTACAATAGTCAATTCTGCTGACTCACTCGTGCGCTTGTGCCGTAGGATATAGAGTAACCGAAATAGGTCTGTGCTGTTTTTACTAATGAAAGTGAAATAGCCGTGTAACCTTTTGTAATCATTATTTTGTTTGTTAAAATAACCAGTACCACAATCCGGAGTCTTTGTTTAACGGGATAGGCTTACAAATCCTCCTTTATTGTTACATGTTCTCGAAGGCAAAGAAGAACTGACTGTCTACATCCGTTTCTATCTTACATCAGCTATAAATTCGGCGTATGATTGTGTAATGCCCAGAAGAGGTAATAACTACAGGGGAAGCGAACGCAACAGTATCGGATCATGTTCCATGGTGCAAATCTTACAGGTGATTTCTACGATGTAGTGCATGAAGTCTGGCGTCGTCTGATATGAATGAGGCCTTCTTCCGACTGGCTAACCAATCCTTTACCTTACACAAGTTCGAGTCATGTCGGAATCCTAGCCATGATAATTTGGCCCTCAGAGAGTGCCTCTGCGGTCCGCAACACCCACGCAAAGCTATCATAGTACTGCAGGACTAACGTGGTGCGTGCTTTAGATGTGTTGGGTGTGGGAATGGTAGGTTGTTTCACGACGACCAGTGGTATGTTCGTTCATGATACAAACATTGCGGGCAAAACCAATTCCCTCCACATTTAGGCCAGCAAGTTGAGAAGCGTGGGTTGTTCATGAAGTAATAGAGAAGCGGGTTCGTTCTATTTCCTCAACTTCCACTGCTTCCCCACTTGATGTAGGTATGAATCTTGCCTTCCCCAAATGTTAAGCAGCGAATTTGGCAAAGAAATATCTCCAGCTTTGGAATTGATTTAAACTGTGCTCATAAAAGTGGGCAAGCTCGGATGGCATTTATCAGGTTTAGTAAATGTTTGACAAGGGGCGATGGTGTAGAGAGCGCAACATTGTCGCACGATAGACTGACGTGTATCTATGTTTTATAAAACATGCATATAAACAGTCACATCCATGCTACAGGTGCCTACAAGCTACAACATGTCATTGAAGCGAGTCACATCGAAAATCGTGCCAATATTTTTAACCGTCTCTAACATGCGTGCTGTCTACCTCGTTTTGTAGGTTGAGGACAAGCACCCAGAACTGGCGTCTCCGGCGGAGAAGGATACGGTATCCGGTTTCTTCATCGTCGGCACTCGTGATGCCGTTGATAAAGCGAGGTTGCTTATTACTTTCCAGATTGAGTGCATCTTTGATTTGGAGAAATTAGAGGTTTGCTTATCAAACTTCGCTTCCTTTGTTTGAGTCGTTTCGGATGCTTCCAAGTTTTCCTTGCTTTAAAGGCGGAAAAGTTGGGCCTCCTGAGGGAGCTACCAGTACGTGGTGGCGGTGGGCCATTCTATGGAGGCATTCAACACGAGATGAACCACCAGGAAAATGGCGGACCGCAACGGGGCGGGCCTCACAGTGGTGGAGGGGGTCCTCGTGCTCCACCGCCGCGTGGCGTTGGTGCCGGAGATCCCTACCACGAGGAGGTTCAACGTGTTGGCAACCAGGTGAGACTCTCCTGAAAAGCACTTCTTATCACTTTCGTGCAGTTAACTCTGGAAGGTCAGATTGATAATGACGCTTAATCTAACGGCCGCATATGTTTGCTTTTTCATGCTTACTGGGGCATTTGGCTGGCTTCTATATGTCTTTTTTAATGGCCCTATCATCCCTTTTACCGATTGTGTCTGGCTTCAGTAGGTCGGCCTTTACCTATATTTTAGCATTTTCCCAATTTCCTGATCCAAGAGACTGAGAATTAAGTTTAATCCGTTATCGTACAGAGTTAATCTCATGAACCACCAAATTTGCATCGTCTCTCTTCCAAGGCCGCACTCTATTTTTATACTTTGCACACAAACACGCATTCACCTATGCTACCACTTCAGAAATATTTGGTTTTTGAAGGGTCGAAGTATTTTTTAATCCAACATGGTTACACTTTTTCGATGGCGTTTCAGACACCTGTGAAAAAGCAGGCAACCGTTACCGATCTATCTGCTATGCATAAGCCCCCAAGCAAAGATGGCGCTGTTTACGTTTGTATTACAACGGCTTTCTGTCCCCCAGTCAAAAGAGTTGACGCTCCACGACGTCATTTCAAAGGTGTATATGGATTTTACCATTGTGGTGATTTTCCACACTTTAATCCTTGGAAGTAAGAAAATACGCGGTTTAACTTAGGGGTCTAAAGACAGGCCTCCATTTCTGGATTGATTTTCCATAACTGTGATGCCCCTACTTCGCAGCAAACAATGAACCGCGGTGCTGGTGGTGGCGGTGGACGACGCGCAGGTCGCCAGCCCCCACGGTCCTCCGGCGACGTTTCTGACGGGCAGCGTGGAAGCGCCTCACCCCATCAGGAGGGCTCTGCTGCCGTCGGTGTGGTAATTGACGAGAAGAAGGCCCCTGATGAGTCGTCGTCCGCTTCAACAATGGGACGTCGTCGAGGTGGTGTAGGAGGTGGAAGTGGTCCTGGACCAGCGGGCGCTCAGCGAGGTGGCGGTGCCCGTCAGCGCAATCGAGTCGGTCCGCGTGGTGGCAACCGTGCTGGTAGCGGCAGTCTTGCTGGCACGGCTGTTCATGCGGAGCAAAGCGCTGATGAGCACAATGGAGTTGCAGCGACGGCGAACGGGTTAGTTGTGCATTTTGCCACTTCAAAAGGCCCCTCTACTATCTAAAACCACGAAGTATGCAGTTTGCGCAGCGGAAACAATCCCTATTAGTGACTGACAGTGTGGGTATTATTAGACCAGTGTTACTTCAAAGCTGTGACCTTACCTACCTAGAGTGGCCTTATTTATGTGAGTGTAAAATAGGGGTGGCTCCTAAGCACAAGTTAAGCTTTAAAACGTAGAAAAGGGTCTTTTGTGCTTGCTTTTGGAGTCTTGTGAATATTCACATGCACATTATCCGTTTCCCTTCTCGCCCCGACTCGACATTGATAGCGCGTTGCAGAACTGAAAGTGGGCTTTCACGTTGACATGTCAGTCTCGCAGTCTGACGAGATGTTCTTCAATTTTATAAGGTAAAGGGATTGCTTGCACTATCGGGGAGAATCAACCGACTATTTAGTGGCGTTCTTCTTACTCTGGAGGTCTAAAACAGTCTCATTACTGTGTCGTCAGTTTGGATTAAAGAATGACGAGCGGTGGCACGCGCTCGTTGAGATGTGTTGCTCAATGCCTTTTTCATGGCCTCTGCTTTGTCACCAATTCCAAGACATTAATGTCGTGGTGCGATGGATGCGTCTTGTGAAGGAGAAGCCGTGAGATTAGTGCAGTAAAAAACGGAACTAATCCCTAAACGATGCCTTACATGAAGGGAGCTTGAGGGCTTTTTTACGCCTCTAACGTCACCTTTTCTGTGTGCTGTACCCTAAGAACGGGCAATGCGGACGTGACCCAATTAAAAAGGTTTGGTTTAGTTGTCCATCGATTATGCTTTGTCTCCCGCCTTCAATGAAAAACCTTATTTCTCCCCTAGAGCCGACTCCAGTGGCCCAAAAAAGGATATGCACAACGAAAACAGCGCTCCAGCTCAGCGGAACGGAAAACGCCACCCTGTCAACAGTACCACTGAGGTTGGCAACCCTCAGTAGCCCGCTTATTGTTCGCATCACGCGTGCTCGGGGCGAAGGGGTGTGAATTACTTTTTCACTGCCGCACCTCCTCCTTTTGCGCGGTCTACGCATCCCTCTCTTCATGTTTTGTCATCACTTTCTCCTCTTCCCTCATTCATTCACCCCATATCCCTTGGAAAAGGAACAACAGAATGCATTTGACACAAGTTATGATTCGGTCTCCTTACGTCACCCACTCATTACTTCATGTCCAAGGTGCCGAGAAGCTTCAGTTTCTGCTTGCTTCCCTCTCCCCACTTTTTATCCGTCTGGGCTGCACACACACCTCCCTCTTCCCATCGGTGTCTGCTTGCCCCGCCTTCTTCCACAAACCTTCGTCACTCCGTTTTTCAGTGCCTCGTTCGTTGACGGAGCCTCGGTTTTTTTACCAACCAACTGTCACCGCTGACCTGTTGCTAACGCTTATTCGTCTCCCTCTACCCACCGTTATATCCCCTTGCCTCTCTTTCC